AAAGTGGTGGGTTGATAGGCAGGCAAATCTCATCAAGGGTGCACCTGGACAAACAGGCTCTGTGCATGCATAGGTGCAAATAAGTACACACACACACACACACACACACACACACACCACACACACACACACACACACACACACACACACCACACACACACACACACCACACACACACACACACCACACACACACACACACACACACACACACACACACACACACACACACACACACACACACCACACACACCACACACACACACACACAACCACACACACACACACACACACACACACACACACACACACACACACACACACACACACACACACACACACACACACACACACACACCACACACACACACACACACACCACACCACAACACACACACACACACACACACACAACACACACACACACACACAACACACACACACACACACACACACACACACACCATCTAAGCGCTGTTTGTTGGCTGAAACCAAAACCGAATAATCACACATCCAGATGGTTAGATACGATAACAGTTTGAGTTGATGTGATAACAACTCCAGTATAGTTACAGTGTTGAGACAGGTGGTTGCATGCTGGTTTGAGTGTTAGTAAAGCAGGCTTGGCACAATGTGAAATAAAACACCTGCCCCCAGCTTATCGTGTGCGCGTGTATGTCTGTTCGTGTGGGCATATCATAATGGGGTCATTATAGCAGCTAATGGGAAGCAAATAGAGGGGTCCACCCAGTCATTCAGACATCAGTTCAGGGACCAGCCAAGGTCAAACAGATAAACAGACGGAGAGACTGTCCCCTAATGGTGGATTATAAATTATTTCGCTTACAGTATTTCTTAGAAACCATGATATTTTTGTTCAGCAAAACTAAAATATTCCTTACTTTTTATTTCATTAACACTACCACAATGCCTAGTAGTGTATGTGTGTTCTTTAAGGGAATCTGAATAACTTACATTTCAAATAGTCTATATACAAAAAAGTTTGCGTAATTATCTCTTCATACCTATAACCCATCAGTTCACCTTTTGATTACATACAATGTGTAGAATTTGAAATCTGGAAGGCAAAAAAGTTCGTTGAGGTTTGACTTCCAGGCAGCTGAGGAAAGATGGAGTGTACACACACACGCGCGGCTGGTGGAGCTCAGAAACCTTTGGGCCATAAAGTTTGACATATGGAATGGTGTGTTAATCAAAGACTTAGCGCTTCCAGCTGGAGCAGCCTCACTGGGAACACAGTCTGACATGCATACTTGAGAATGTCCTGCCTGTGTGTGTGTGTGTTTCTCATGATAATGTAATGTAATCCCTGTCATCTTTTGTAGCGAGGGGTGGTATTTGTGTGCTTGGTTTTGCACGTGTGTGTATAGAGTGTGGTTGCAAGTGTTCTATACGTTTGTCCTCCTAAACCTATCCATGACTTAACCCTTTCAATCTCCATCCAACTATTGTCTATATAGTTTACAGCAAGGATTCGCATGATCTCCTCTGAGAAAGCTGACTGTTGAAGAGATGAAGAGATGAAGATGAAGAGAGCAACGAGTATGGATTTAAAAAGCAGAAAGAGAGGCAGGAGCACATAGAGTTGCAAAGGGGTGGAAAATGTCCAAGGAAAGTTAACCTCAGAAATGTCTACTTCAAAAGCAAAATCATTTTATATCAATACTATTTTAATCATACAAAAGGTAATTTAATCCACCATATATATTCAAAATGCATCTTTGCTTGAATATATATGTATTCTATAATAGAGCAACGATAAAGTAACATTTCCTCCAAGGATCAATAAAGTATTTCTGATTATGATTCACTTAAGCAGAGTCCTTTTCACTTTACTCTTAATGCCTTTCTATATTCTGTGTTCATTCTCCATCCAGATGATCTCAAACACAAACAAACTGAACGCTGAAATCCGTACATTGCTGGCAATAAAAGCTGGGGAAGAAAACATTTACAAAACGGGATATGATCAAAGCCGGACCCGTGCTGTCTTAGTGTAAATAACATCCTGCCGACCTAAGATTCCCTACTGGATATAGTTTTTCTCCAGAATGGCCCATACTTGAGATATACACCACAGTATAGCATCTCAGCCCCAACGCAAGAGTAGTGGAAAGCTTCACAGCTGAAATATATGAAGTTCATGTATACACATGTGTGACTCTTGGTGTTTGGAGGAGTGGCTTCAACACTGGAATTATTGCAATACAATCTAATGACAACCAATTATGTGGTACATAAGTGGTTGATTTAAGCACGTCCGAGCAATACACTTAAATAACCGTTGACATTATTGTGACCCAACTTTCAGCCATGTGTAAGGACAAGGAAGCTAGCACACACTCCTGCAGTTCAGCATTACAGTATGTAGCATTTTAGAGCAAGTCAAGGAATGGCTTGGTATATGAATATTAACAACAAAGTTATTAACATTTTGATGATTACATTTGTCAGCTGACTTCGTGGTGGTCATTGTGTTCAAGACATGCAGATATTAATCCTGATCCATGTAGAAAACGACATATTTTGATTGGTTTCCGAGAACGAGATGGATTGTGCTATAGACTTAAACTGCATACAGATGTGAGAAACCACAGCACAGTGTACTACTGCTGCAGAAGCAAACAATTTGACAAGAAAAAAATCACATTTGAAAGAAGAAAAGACAGCATTGTCTCTTATTCATCTCGGTAACAAAAATGCAATGCTTACAGAACAAGCACAGACTTCCTGAATTCCTAGAGAGGCAGATAAGTAACTTAAGAAAGGTTAAGAGAGGATAACACAACAAGGAAACAGAGAGATACAAAGGGAAAAAAGTGATGAAAGGAAAAAAAGAGCATTGGAGAGGGCAGGGAAACAAAGAGGGCTTCATTGTGTTGGATCCTAGTCATTACTGAAGGAGGCGATAGCATAATATAGTGCTAATGGGGGAACAAATCGTGTAGTGTTCAGCTTACATAACTGCTGAGTAACTAATCACACAAAATGTTTTCTTGACACACAGGCAGTTTTACGGCCTCTCCTTTTAGCACTCAAACAGAAATAGCCATTTGGTAAATGTTTTAGGGAATTTACTGAACAAAATATAAAACATTTGTTTTGCTGTTATCCAGCGATGCATGCCCTGACCCATCACCTTTCTGTCTTGCAGAGGCCTATACTAGCAGGAGCAGTGGTCAACTGTCACTACCTTCTCACCCAATGAGACCACATGTGCAAGACTACCTGATGACCCAAATGGCCAGCTGCAGAACGAGGTAGGAGAAGGGAGGGGGTGCAAACCGAACGAGAGAGAGAGAGAGAAGACTGTGCAGTGAGACTCCATCTGCTAATGTGCGTCAGTCTTTGACAGTTCTGGCACATCTAAAGAAGCCAATGTACTTCATGCTGTGACTTCATCAATGCCAAAGCAGAAGGCATCAACGTGCAAAAATGATCGCTCTCAAGCCGGTAGATATTTATATGCTGCTATAGGAGATTACCAGTATTGTACATCAAGTAGGATAAGCTAGAGTCCCAGATGCCCCTTCTCAGGCAAATGTTTGTCCCAAACCTTATGAGAACATGTGTTCTCTACAGCATTTAAGCAATATGCAGAGTGCTGCTTGCTGTGTGCCATTTTTTCAGTCATTCTTGAGTACCACATTGGCCATACATCAATACACTTCTGTCTTCAGGAGCAACAGGAGCAACAACCGCACCACAACCGCAATGTGACCAAGCGCCCAGCCAGCCGTCCAGCATCGTCAGCAGAAAGTGAGGAGTGAGGAAAAACAGGAAGTGTGAGGGAGACTGTCAGAGCGACGGAGAGAGAGTTAGATGACAGCATAGCCAACTAACTGCCATGTCACAATACAATCCAGCAAATCAGACAAGCTTTTCCCTAGCTTAGAGCCTTCAGCACTGCGGGCTGCATGTTCACCCACAAATTACATAACAACGAGTTCCTGCACAGCATTAATGGTTGATGCTAGCTGTGTGTAGCGAGACAGCAAACATGACAGCAAGCCGAAAGATGTTTACATCATGCATGGTTTCATGGGCCGATGACAAAGCCTTTACATAGCTTGGCATGCCAAGAGGCCTTAAGTATATTAGAACCTCATGGTCTACGGTCTACTGCCACATATTTTTGTAGTGTAACTCTAATCTGCTGCATCAGCCACCCAAGAACATGGTTTTTCAGACTGTCCGGCTCTATCACATGTTGCACCCTGCTCGGGCCTGCTTCTGAAACTCTGACATGCAATCAGAGGCCTGCGTGCCTATGCCAAGGAAGCACGGTGAATTGTCAACTGACAAAAGACCGAAAAAGAGTGTGTTTTGGGTTTCGTCTGTGGAGGATTTAGCCAACAGGAAAGCTCCAGTGTTTTCCTCTCCATGGGGCATAATGGATTCTCCCCGCCAATGAAACCCTATTCCCGCTGCCAGGCTGGATCGCCATCACTGGAGATCTGGGACAGATGGAAGGATGGCGCGAGGGTGTTTGACGAGATGAAGAATGTGTAAGAACAAGATAGGAGGGAAAAGAGAGGGATAAAGGGAAATTGGCATCCCTTTCTCTCCGAGACGAGTATGGAGAATCGCTGATTTCTGAGTGTGTATGTCAGCACCACCGCCCACATCTGAATTCACAACTCGATACTGACATATAGACAGCGTACCATAACAACCAACCAAACAACCCATTACAAACACACAGACACATCCAGCTGCTCCCTTCCCCACCGTTTGCTGCATACCCCTCCTCTCCTGCTACAGTTGTCCATGTTCAAACTTCAATCCCTCTACTCACTGGAGATGCTCCCAAAGCAGGCAACACTGGCACACAGTGGCCATGAGGGCAATACATTCAACTGGAACAATGGCCTGTACATGATGTTATCTGCTTACAAACGTCCCATTTTGATTGCTGGCATTACACTGGGTGTCGTGCAAACATCTACCATCTATTACATTTGTATTTGTCAGTTGTAC